CTATGATTCTATGATTCTATAAACTACCTACAGTACATTTTCACAGAGGAAGATATGACTGGAACAGCTTTCTACATAATTAAGAAACCTTAATAGAGCTGTTATTGATAACAACTGCTATGAAGTGCCAGTGTAGTGCCTGGCATGTGCTCGCATGCAAGTAAGTCAAAAGCAGAACCGAGACCAAATCCCACATCACCTTCCATATATTTTATTGAGTAGTCAGTCCTGATCTTCACAGCAGTACTGAAATTGTGGCTGCTAGGCAATCAACAGTAGCCTTAAAAAAACCCAAAAAACAACCACCACCAAAAAAGTGATAAACCTCTCATCTGTCATTATGGGGAAAATAGCCATAAAGAGTCAGTTATGAGTGAATATACTAGTATTTCAAGCTTATCATGGGATAAAGGCATGGATGCATATTTCAGGAATATAGCACAAGGACTCACTAAATTTACAAAACTCCTTCAAACAGGCAGAGATATGAAGAATCAAGTCTCCATTATGACATGATAGCTGCATTTCCAAATAAAGAGAGCTCTACGATTGATAGGACATATCAGCCCCTAAGAGGGGATCATTCTGCGAGAAGAACTGACATCCACCAATTAAGTCCTACAAAGTTAAATAAGAGGAAACTATGTAGTTCTGGACACCAAATGACTCATTTACCAAATAAGCAGCACACAAAAAAATCGTGTGAAAAGTTTGAGACATTCAACACGATTAAGATGTGCTTCCCATCAGACATTCGTAACCCTCTAATACTCGTGTTTAAAAAGTGGGAAGACAGTTTAGGATCCAACCAGAACAGCAGGTGTTCATGTCAAATTTTAAATCAATTGTTCGTCACTTTATCTGCAAAAGATGGTATCTCAAATAGGTGAGTGTAACATCATTTCTTCACTAGTGATGGCTTGCAACAATACCACACACTATAACCCCTGCTTTGTGAAATGGAGCATTTACCCCAAAACTTCAGAAACTAATAAACAGCAACCAAATTAAATGCAAAAGCTACACTCTGGATCTTAGGATCAGAGTTCCAAAGAGGACAGGAAATAACCCAAAGAATGTCACTTACCAGAGAAAACCAACTTTTAAATAGTCTGTTTCCAATAATTGCTAGAAAGAAGCAAAGTGAAAGATTTCATAAAACTTAAAACCAGTCTGGACTTAAAAGGCAGGATGCATTAGTCCACAATTTTCTTCCAGTTTTTCAATATGGTTTGTTTTGTTTGTTTGGTTGTTTTTTTTAAAAAACCCACACCTGTATGAATTCCAACAGATCACTGCTGACCTCCTGTCAGTGAGGGAATCCAGCTTTCTAAAACAGCCCTACTAAACAATGGGCTACCATGAATTATGGTTCTAGGTTAATGATTGATATCAAAGACTCAAGTTCGTTCTGATACACAGGCTTCTAACAAACCAAACCAGGTACAGCACCAGGTTGGTCACTCAAATGACTAGCTTGGTCAACTGAGAAAAGTTCAAGTTATTCCTGAATTCGAGTCACGGTTGTAGGTCTGTAAAATGATCTGAATATAAATACGCTTTGAATTCCGTCACCTCTGGGAGAAGACCAGAAAGTTTACAAGATGGTAAGTCCATGGTTTTAGCTTGCAACTGTGCCGCTACTCATGTAGTACTCTTTGGTTTCCCTGCAGTATTTCAGAATACCAGTGCCTGTAAAGAACTATTTCCAGAGGATGAGAAAACAACTAGCAACACCTGGTTGTGTCATAAAATCTCTTAATTACAACACTAAAGTTATCAGTAAATGAAAACTTAATTCTGACTACAGCATTAGATTAACAGCCTTTATCATAGACATCAGACTGCCCTCGTGTGGTCTACTTAAAAACTTAGCCATTTATCTTAAATCCACTTAAAAATCCCCATGCGTGATTAAATTCTGCTAGGTTTATTTTCTCTTTCTACTATGGTGACCAGAACTAAACCAGATTATATTTAAAACTTCATAACCTTCCTGCAAGACCAGCGTTAGAAAGAGTAAGAAAACACACAAAATGAATAATAAACAAAGCTATGAACTATAAATGCTACCAATCCTTAACCATTGCAGTAAAAAGTGTATTAGAGGGTAACTGTCCTTCACAGCTAAGGCAATCATTTGCTGCTTACATACAGGACTGTTTTGGCTGATTTAACAAACCAGTCTGAACACCCTGAAAGGCAGATCAAAGAAAGTTACTTACCGAAAGTACCATAGAATCCTCTAGGTCCACAAGTGCCAACACCATATTTCTTCAGAGATGCCTGTGCCGCACTCTTCAACAAAAAATGATTACATGAAATATTTATTCCTACACTAGATCTAGAACAGTTTTATACTGATGCACACAGGCCAGTTCTTGCATCATGTAAGATGACTTGCTTTAGAGAAAATACAATAATGTGCTGAATTTGTGAATTAATTTCACATCAAATTAAGTGTTTAAGCATCATTCAGTGCATGCTAATGATTAAGGACATTAAATACTACCCCAACTTCACCATCAGCTAGTACGCAGTAAGTACACCAGGTAAAACGCTAGTAAAAGGACAAACTTAAATAGCACAAAATTACAAGGTTTATAATCTTCCTTGCTGGTTTAGAAGTATAGTTCCTTGACAAAGTTTATGCTTTCTGAAGTCATTCTTAATTTTAGGATAACATACAAAGTAAAATAGGAATAATCACACAAATACAGTGACTGGAAGAACTCACCTTAACCTTTTCATTATCCAAAAGTCCAAGAAAGTTAAATGATGCGAAGTTTATACATTCCTTGCCATTAACAGTGATTATATGCGTGGGAGGACTGAAAAAAAAACCCAAACAGCAGACCTATTGTTACAAATTAACAGTGGCCATTTTCACAAACAAATAGTACAGGAGTTTTATTTTTGAACAGTAAAAGACACACAGCTTTTTAAACATTCCATCTTTCCACTCTTTTCCTTGCAGCTGCCAATATTTAAATAAATTTAAGTAATTAAGCCAAATACAAAGCTTCATGTCTGCTTACTTCTGTATGCGCCGTTAAATATCACAGTTGAGATCCTACAGTATTCCACAAACACAGTAGTTCTTCCCATGTGGAAACTCGCACTGAGCAATTTTCACAATCAAAATTGAACAGGGCTGCTCAAATGTCAAATGGCTGTGCACAGCTGCTCCAAATCTGGTTGCTGACAATATTTCAGTGGGTACATTTGGCATGCAAAGCAAATAAACTTGAAGTCCAAGCTATTTACTGAAAGTTAAAAAAAAAAACACTGAACTGCCTCAGCTTCACTTAAAAAAAAACTCCACTATTTTGTTTTGTACCCATTGATATTAAAAAGTAAGCAAGTTTTGCTTCAACCAAGCAACTGCAAAGCTTACAAAGCAACTTTGGAAAGCTTTCTGCTAACACAGTGCATGTGCCGTGCACCTTCATCACTGTTGTTCCACGGCATTTACCTGACACCAGCTGAACCTGACCCCACAGAGCAGCAGCCTCCTGCGCAGTGGCAGCAGCATTACACAAATGCCCCGCAAACTCTCTTGGGGACCTGACTGCCACCAAAAATACACATGGATCTGTTCCTCTGTCTCACTCATCGAAAAGCTATCGCAATACATTCCCTAGCTGTAAGCACTGCAAAGTCCTAAATAATTTAAACATTCTGTAAATCCATCTGAAAGATATATTTGCTCAGATTATTTTTTTTTAAATATCCAACGCTTCCTTTAACCCCACAGTACTGCTTGTTTCAAAACTCTGAACAGTAACAGAACTTGAATAAAACTTTCAAAACTGCCTTTTCTAAGGCAGACTTTCCTGTGGTACTATAACCATCCAAATGGAGCTCTCTATGACAGCACATAATTGTGCTGTCACCCTAAATTATTTTAAATTATTAGTGTCACTAGGAGGATATTAAGAATGCTTATATTGTAAAAACAAATCTGAAGCCTGTGAAAGAAATTTCAAAGCAATTTCTGAAACACTGTGACTCTTGCATAAGCCAGCACATATCTTAAAAGCCACATAACACACAAGAAAGTGACGCCGAGCCTCAATTTCATCACAGAAAAACTTCACCATCAAGCATCGCCACTCCCGACTGTCCAAGAGGAACAACTTCCCATGAAGTGCCAAGCGGCTAGCCGCAAAATCAGTTTTTTCTTCCCCTCCAGCCCCCACACAGAAGGTGGTAATTACTTTTGGAGGCCTAAGTCTACATATTCAGAAAAACTGAAACACATTACTACCAAACAATACAGACCCACAATGAAGGCAAAGATAAAATGTCCTATTTAAAAAGTAACTCCACCCATATATTTTAAAAAAACCATTACAACATTTGAAGTAAGAAAGATTTTCTTAATAAAATAGTCTTGATAATGTTGCAAAACCAACACCATCTCTTCAGTAGCAAAATCATCCCTGCTACCTAAAAATGCAATTAATTTATAACATGTTCTAGGCATATGGAACTGTTTAATAAGAAATACACTTAAAAATATGGACATGAAGTATTTCAGTTGAAACAAACCCCTTCAGAATCTAATTTGGTTATATTTACCCTGAAACAATGTTGTAGTTGAGGGCTGGGTGATCTTTTGGTACAGGAGGTACAAGAGGCTCTGGCTGCCACTCTTCAATCAACTCTTCTTTTTCCTGAAAGAGACAAGAAATACAGCTCAGAAAGGATTTCCATTGGAACAGACATGATGTGCAACTGTTACCACTGTTTGTTAGCACAAGAAATGTGGTATGCTAACACACACTGCCTTTCTGACACACAAAACTAATAGTACCTCAGCATGTTCAACTGAAGGGCTCTGAATTCTTCAAAGGGAAGGCGATGTAAGGACAGACCAGCTGTGCCTGTGCATGAGTAAGGTCTCATGATGCAATAATCAAGACAAGAGATAGTAACTCGAGGTCCTTGCCAAATTTTAATCAATACTGTTTCATTCACTCTATCAATTATTAAAATCCTTCTCTACAGTTTATGTAATTTAAATCAAAGACTTCACATTTTGAAGTCTTCAACAGTGCTGTTTAAACGGCTGTGGCATTAAAACACTTGGCAAAGTAACACAGGACACAATGGAGGACAACTGCAAAACGCTCAATAAATGGTAACAACTACTAAACTACATATCCCCCACCTTGACATGGAGGAATACCAAATACACATTCATTTTCAAAGTGCTTTAAACTACTTGGAAAACCTCAGTTAGATGATTTTCCAGAGGACATGCAGTGGAACAGCGTAACGGGTGTGTTAGGCTAGTTTCCACACAAAGTAGCAACCACACAGGCAGATCACCAAAATCATCCTTCCCACCATGAAAACATAACTTTCCAGGAGTGTTATTTACTAGTACAGCAAGCCGCATCTGATAACACCTTCGTTAACACGCTGACTTTTGATGGCATGACTACAACAGATTCATATTTCATGCTGTTATTTCAAAAGGCAGCGGAATATTTAAGGCTACTTATTTCATTTCAATACCAAACTGTAAATTCTGCAATCAATTTTTGAAAACACCACAGAAGTATCTTTTTCCATTTTTATTTTTTCCAAATACACTTTTCAAAGCCTTTGAAGTACAAAACCAAACTAAGGTATGAAAAAAGATCAAGAGGAAACCATATACAATACAATTAGTCTCCTGTATTTTGATCACTCTCCTTTTACTAAGCTAGTGAGTAACTTTGTTTCTGGGTATTTCCAGAGTATTAATTAAGATCCCAGGAGCTCCACAAAGGCTTTTTTAAAAACAAAAATGGAAATTTCAATAGCCTGGTATTTTAGAAAAGGTCCTTTTTATGTGAGCATAGTCACGTTTCTAATATTTTGCAGATGTATATTAAATACCTCTTTATTTAACTTTCTCATGTTAGATTTCTTACTGAAAATTAACCCATGGGGCATATATCTTAAAGGAAATAAAATGCCATTAATATTGAATATTTTCGATTCTGTTGCGTACGTTTTGAAGTGGCTACACTTAGGTTAGAAAAAGTGCTTAGTTTCTTTAGCCATCACAGGACAGACCCCAGCTGGAACCTTGCATGCAGTTTGGTATGCGTTGAAATGCTGTTTCCACACATCGAGGAAAGCATTAAAGTAGGGAGTTTTGTTAATTTACCCTCCACTAGTGTCATACACAGCATGTTAAATAACAGATTTTAATGATTCAATTAAAAAAATCCAAAGAGATAACTGGGCACAGGACACCAGAACAGTAATAAATTGTGTGTAAATACTACTGACTTCTATTCATTACTGCATTCTACTATTAAACCTCATGTTCAACACAGCAAACACCTCAAGAACCCTATGGGAGAAGATTAGCAGGTGACACACCCTATGAAGATTTAACATGCAGCACGTTACCAAAATGGTGCAAAAGTAGTACCCAAATTCAGGGTAATCTCAGAATGGAACCACAACCGTAACCCTGCTAAACGCCACTGATGCAAGACAGAGTGGCAATTCCATCCTTGTCTCAGAACCAGTGCTAGTGTGCACCTCCATGCTGTATTGATATCTGAAAAGGAGTATCAGAGACGCGATTTAACACTCAGCATGCTGACCCACAGCACTGCGAGCCAGCAGCAGCTGCACTTCAATCCCCTTCCCATCACAAACACATTCATGTTCTTTGTGTGGCATAAGGGGGTGCAAAACCAAACAGTAACCTTGTTCAAAAGAAGTCATCCGGGTGCACACTAACCTAGCAAAAGCAGGATGGACATACAGCAAAACTAGATCCCACAACAAAGTAGTCCCAGTCTAGATTGGCTGATGCTACTGGGAAACCATATCCTGAGTGACAGATGCCCAGTAGTACCTTACACCTTTCCACAAGCGTTCAAAAAGACTTCTGAAAATCAGAAAGCAGGATATATGCTCATGCAGCCTTCACTGCTCCTACCACAGCTGTGTGGAGAGGCCCCACATCCCTGCTGTCCAGCGTATCTTGCATCAACATTATTGTGTTCATTTTAGAGTGCAGGGTCAGGTTGGTTTTTTGTTTGTTTTGGTGGTTGTTGTTTGCTTTAATTAGGAAGCAGAATAAATCATGTGAGAAGTGGTGCAGCCTGTCAGTTATGAAAGGATAAAAAGCAATCGATAACATCAAATGTATACAGTTGATTCACTTATTTCTCCTCAGTTCACCATACTGAAAATATCTACTTGATGACAAGAATGGAGTCAAAACTTTCAATTTCCACTCTCTTGGGCTGTGATTTAAGTGAACTCATCTCTCAGCTCTTCCTCTTTTCCTTTTATAATTCTTTCTGATTTGTGTAAGCGTAAATGTTAAAGAAAAAATAAATTCCTAAAGAAGGTATATATTTTATGTTTACAAGTAATGTACAATACAAAAATATGAGAGAGATCTTTTAAGTACTTTATAATATACACACACTTACACATTTGTACATATATATGGGGGGACTTTTCACAAGGGCCTGTAGTGACAGGACAAGGGTAATGGGTTTAGATTGAAAGTGGGGAGATTTACATTAGATATCAGGAAGTTGTTCTTCACAGAGAGGGTGGTGAGGCACTGGAACAGGTTGCCCAGAGAAGCTGTGGATGCCCCATCCCTGGATGTCTTCAAGGCCAGGCTGGATGAGGCTTTGAGCAACCTGGTCTAGTGGAAGGTGTCCCTGCCCATGGCAGGGGGTTGGAACTAGGTGATCTTTAAGGTCCCTTCCAACCCAAACCATTCTATGATTCTATGATGATGATTCTATGATATATAAACATGTTAAGTATTTTTATCTGAATACACACACACACACATATAAATAAAATGGTTTGGGGTGGTTGTAGTTTGTTGGTTGTGGGTTTTACTTTCTAGATGCCAGATACCTTGGGTAAGAGAAATACTTGGGCGTAAACACACCCGACCCAAGTTATTTAAATCAGTTGCCTTGTTGACCCTGTTTTTTTAAGGAAAAGTAACAATATGTTCATGAAGACAGTTCTTAGTTAGCTGTAGTGTTTTGAAACAATGTCAATATCCAAAGATTAATAATATTTTTTATTTGCTGGTCCTCAAATAACACGTGTTTAATTTCACACTACGTATAGGATCATAAATCAGCACAGCATAAATTGTCACAAAGAATGGGCACGCTGGTTAGAAATTTCTCTCTTGCAAACTCCGCTTAAGAGAATCTTTACCTACACAGGGAGTCTTGGCTCAAAATGACTGAAAACCTTTACAAAAACAGACTATATCTGCTCTTCCTTGTAAAGCAACACCTGACCAAGCTCTGAGTGCTGTTCCTGCAAGACAGAGCTCTTGTGGCTTACAGTATTTCTCAGTCATGCATTAAATGTGTGTCTCTGACAGGAACTTTACAGCTAATACCAGCAACAAATGTCCGTCTGATAGAACTGTTCCCATACTACTACTGCAGTGGAAATTCTAAAACCAAAACCACCCAACTATTCCTCCCATCCACAAACGGTAAGATGCGGCTCTTCGTAGGACTTCAGAGACTTTGAGAGAAAACCTCAGTAGCGCTTACTGCACAGAAACACATCTGGAGGGCACCTTCCTTTCACACAGATGGTCGTTGTCTGGAGAGCGAGCTTGTAGCTAAATGACGCCACGCAATCTCCCACGGCCTGCTCCAGTCCTCAGTGATAATTTGCTGCTTTTCTATAAACTTTATTTTGGGCAAAAAGCCCACAAGAATCTATGTCTAGCATCCCTGTCTGGCCACAGACTTATTTGTACTTCCCAAAATCTCAAACTATCAGGAACTTAGTGTCACAGAGAAATACTCCACCATTATTTTGGAACAGAACCTGCAAACACTGTTACTAAAGGATGGCAGACAGTCAGTTGAAAGCTGAATCCTACACTGGATTTCACAGCGCTCTTGCTACACAATTCACTAAACCCAGAAGCCACCTTCAGGATGGATTTCTTCACTTTCTCGGAAGCGTGACTCCTGAGCGCACTAGGTTGCACAATGTATTTCTAACCCCTGGTTCCCCAGGACAGACGGGTCCTGACAGACCACATTAAGAGAGCCGTGCAATAGTTGCATCCTTCAGTCATACTCATTACGTGGAGCCGGCTCTGCTCTGGCAGCACCCTCAACAGTAATTCACAGAGAAACGCCGAGTATCACTACGTGAGCAACTGACATAAAGCCAGCCCAAGCTCCAGCGCCTGTACCTCAGCAACCTACTATTTCTTCCTGGTGTGGTAAAGACCAGACACCACAGCATGACTCAAACTAGAACAAATCAGAAGGCAAATCAGCAGTCTCCTCACTGAACGCTGGCATGTTGCTACACGCAGCTCAACAAGCACACAGAAGCCTGGCTGTGTGGGATCCCATAGTGTATCAAACAGACTGTACTGGATCCGGCTGGGATGGTGTTCATTTTCTTCACAACAGCTCGTATAGTGCTGGGTTTTAAACCTGTGACCAAAACAATGCTGAGAACACACAAATGTTGTAGCTCTTGCTGACCGGTGTTTCCACAGCATCAAGCCCTCCTGTTTCTCACTCTGTCCCCACAGTGCATAGACTGAGGGGGTGCACAAGAATTTGAGAGGGGCACAACCAAGCAGATGACCCAAACTAACCAAACATATTCCATACCATATAATGTCACACTCAGCAATAAAAGGGAAAAGTGGGGGGGCTTAGGGAAGGTTGCTTTATTTTGCTAAGGAACTGGCTGGGTAGTGGTCCACCCCTGGGAGGTGGTGAGCGATTGCCTTCATAACCCTTGTCTTCTTTCTCTCTTGTTCCACTGTGCCTTTGCTTATTAAACAATCTTATCTTCACTCACAGGTTT